TCAGGGGACAATCTTTACCTTTATCTATGTTTCTAAGGCATCAAATTGTTTCCTATCTGTGAAACCGCCCTGAGTCCCCTTCAGGGTGAGAAGGGTGGTATACAAATGTAGTAAATAAATAAATACTCTCTTTTTTCCAATGTGATTCTTTATTATTTAAATATGAACAGTATTCCTTCACATAAACAATTACTCAGTCATCACATAACTGACACACAAACATGACAAAATAAATATACAACAAGAGCACAGATCATTTTTGTTTAATTTAAATATTAAATAAATAATAAATTACAGGTTTTCTTTTTTTTAACCATTATCAGTGCCTGAAACAATAAGAACGCCGAGAAAACAAAAGAAACAAACAAAGAAAAGGAACCAATCTCTCTCTCGCTCTCTCAATCTCTCCCTTTCTGCATTTTGCCCCCACCCGAAACAAAAGCAAACAAAAAACATTATTTTTTTCTCATTTAAAAAAGCACTTCAGTTATAAAATATCTTTAAAAAAATTCCCATTGGTAAAAGAATAAATAACAAAAATATATAAAAAATAACTTGGTTGCATCAAAACTACACGCAAAAGTTAGATTTTTTTCTTTCATTTCTTTCCTTCTTAGAGGGATTATTAATGTTTTATTGATCAAAAATTTTCTATTACTTTTGGGATTATTTTTTTTTCTGTGTCTCCTTTCCTATCTCATGATGTGATGTCCAGTTTTTAAACATAAATATAAATTTAATAAATAAAACAGATTCAATAAATAGGTAAAGAAACCGAAACGTAAGGTGTTGCGAATATAAATTACATACATTTTCCCCCAATTAGGGTGCGCACGCACAGAAAGAGGACTCACTGTGTTTTTCCCCCAGCAAAATTATTTCCAGTGCTTTTAATAGCTTTGCAAATTTGAATCAAATGCTTATTGGCTTTCCATGTTGGTCTACCTGGATTTTGAATAGTGTTTGAATAGAAAAAAAGAAAAGGAAAGGCACCCCATTCGTTGAAAGTTGGAAAACCGCTTTGGGGAATTAAATTCATAAACACATAGCCATAAACATGATGTTACAGATCCTGGGCACTTGGTGCTGTGTCTATTTTGCCAAAGGGAAGAAACTGCTTTCCCTCTTAGCTTGATCCTGGGGAAAAGACTGTCTGGACAGACAAAAAACACAGTGAGTGCATTTCTATAGCGGTTCCACCACTCAAAAGTATGTGCATTTGGATGCACCCTCAAATAATTTACAGGATAATTCAGCTAACTACTCCCTTCCCCACAACCCTTCTTTTTCTTTTAAGGAAGTGCAATTTCTCTACGCTTAAATACTAAATGAGCTGCAATTATCACCAAGTTGGACTCTATTTACACATCGAAAGCATTGCATTTTTAAATACTTCATTTCAATCTTTTCTCCTCCTTCCTTTGCTTTCTTCTTTGCACTTTCCACAGGTTGACTATATTGGCCAAGCCAAAGAGCCCATCATTTTAATCATTTTGGGCACACAGTCCTGTTTACTCCAATGAGCAGTGCAGTGGTTTTTATATCCACCACCAAACTAGGCATTTGAGTAAAGTCATCCATGTGCTTCATTTGCCCCTCTCCCCACTTGCTCCATTACTTGTTGGGCCCTTTCCATTGACTTCCAAAACTTTTCCTCCCATTTATAGCCTAAGTATATGCAGGACTAGGCTTTTAAGGCATTTTCACATGGAGGCTCTCTATGGTTGTTGCTTCAGGCAAGGTTTCCACATGAATATAAAACCCCCATTGGCCAGAACAATCATTCTACATTTCTAACTTCTCTCTTATCGCTTTGTTTCTGCTGTAAAAATGAGGAAATGGAATGAGAGGGTCAAAAGTTGACACTTTTTGAAACAAAGCCTCAGGATGAAAACGTTCTGAGAAACCCAACATTTCCACTTCAAATACAATCTCATTGGGGACCCAAAAAGTAACACTTAGACCAAGGTTTCTTAACTTTCCACCGTAAGCCCCTTGGATTCCCCAAAAGACATCTGTGATGATGGAGAAACCCAGTCAATCACAAAGTAAACACGAGCCAATACTGTGATGAAGTGGCTGAAAAAGCCAATGCATTTCTAGGATTCATCAATGGGATCGTAGTTTCTAGATCTAGCAAAGACCTATATTCAACTTTGGTCAGACCACACCTTGGATTTTGTGTCCAGCTCTGGGCAAAACAGTTCATGAAGGGTATTGCCAAGGTGGAAATCCCTATGAAGAATGGCTTAGGACCTGGGGTATCTTCAGCTTGGAGAAGAGAAGTTGAAAGGTGATGTGTTAACCATCTTTAACATCTGAAGAGATGCCATGGAGAAGATGGAACAAACTTGTTTTTTCCTTCTCCAGAGACTAGACCATGGAACAATGGGTTCAAATGACAAGAAAAGAGATCCTACCTAAACTAGAGGAAGAATTTCTTGCTTCTAAGAACTGTTTGGGAGTAGGACAGGCTGTCTCAGAGGGTAGTGGGCTCTCATATTTTTCAACCAAAATTGGATAACCATCTTTTGGGAGTGCTTTAGTGTGTTTGGCAGTGGGTTGGAGGAGCCCTCAGTGGTGTGATGTGTTAAACCCGTGTGCCAGCAGGACTGAAGAGGTTCAAATCCGGGGAGAGCGCAGATGAGCTCCCACTGTCAGCTCCAGCTCCCCATGCGGGGACATGAGAGAAGCCTCCCTCAAGGATGGTAAAACACCAAAACATCCGGGCATCCCCTGGGCAACATCCTTGCAGATGGCCAATCCTCTCACACCAGAAGTGACTTGCAGTTTCTCAAATCGCTCCTGACATGGAAAAAAAGTGGGCTGTCATTTTAATGTGAAGAACCACATCTTGAAAAGTATAAGCAGCACATTTGGTACACTAAGTTGAAAAACAAGGGGCTCTTGGGCTCTTATTTCCACAGAAGTTGTATTAATTTTCAGTGAAACCAAGACTCCATGTTGTGTTTTCAGGGTAAAACCTGACCTGACTAACTACCCTACCTGTCTAGAAAATACATTTATACCTTTTCTTTTCTTGGCAGAAAGTCCCAATGAGTTCAGTGGGCCATATTCCCATGTGAAATGAGCATCAGGTTGCAATCTCAGAATTTGTCAGGGGGTTTAGTTTGGAAACCAAATTATTGCCATAAGAAATGACCTTTCAGCACCAAAAATATATTTTTAAGAACCCTTGCAGAATTTTTCCACTTGAATTTTATCAAACACCTCTTCCGGCTCCAAGATTTGCTGGAATAACAGGTGTGAAGGAGGTATGAACACATGGAAGTCAGAAGGGAGAGATATGATGGTGTTTTTCTGATACTTCACAACTGTATTTTCATGCTTTCCTCTCTCTTGATCATCACTGCAATATAGACAGTCTATGTCAGGGTACTGTGAATCTGCTCCGTTCATAGTGCAGAATTAAAGTGCTATAATTCCACTTTAACTGTCATGGTTCCCTCCAATGAAATCCTGGGGGCTTGATAGGGAGGAGAATTTAGTTAGGGTAATCCACAGGTCCATCAAAGTATAAATTCCAGGATTCCCTAAGATTTTGTAACAGAAGTTACAATGGAATAATAGCACTATACAGGCAGTCCCCGAGTTACAAACATCCGACTTACAAATGACTCCTAGTTAAGAATGGGGGTCAGACAACAGGAAGTGAGAGAAATCTACTCTTCTGAAGGGAAATTCACTCCTAAAAAAGCTATCATAGGGGAAAGGTGTCTCCACTGAAGCTTTAGCACCAATCCTTGTTTCCACAACAAGACAAATTTCTCAAAATCCAATTATCACAGGGACAGAAAGTGAGGTGAAATCTGCTGAACTGGGACATAGGTACAAAACAAACATTACAGGGGTGTTAACTCTTCCCCTTGCTATCCAAAACTTTTTTTTAAACCCAAAACTTGATGAACCAATCTGGACACAGCATATTATTTGGGAACACAGAAATGCTGGACCGCTCTAACAACCACCATGTCAGACTACATAGAGAAGCTATGGTTTCCTCCTTTCAACAGAAAGGAGGAAACCATGAAACTGAACAAAATCTGGCTACCAGTATTAAAAAAACCTCTAAAATCAGGACTCAAAAAGCAGGGGAATTCCAGACAAGAGACAATCAGGGCCAGCTAACACCTCCTAACAAAGGATTCCCCCAGGGAGGAAGCAGACAGGCTTTGAAGCTACAAGGCTTTTCAATGCTAATCTAAGGAGGCCAATTGCAACATTCATACCTGCCTCAAGCAGGCAAGAGTTCTTTCTTCCACCCTGGACATTCAACAGATATATAAACCTCGCAACCGCTGAGGATGCCTGTCATAGATGTGGGCAAAACATCAGGAGAGAATGCTTCTGGTACATGGCCAAACAGCCCAGAAAACTAACAGCAACTCAATGATTCTGACTATGAAAACCTTCAACAACATACTAAAAAATTGTTGCTGTTATTTTTAAAAACATACCTGTTCCGACTTCCAAACGAATTCAGCTTAAGGATAAACCTACAGACTCTTATCTTGTTTGTAACTTGAGGACTGCCTGTAATTCTGCAGCATTCATGGGCCCCGCCTGTAATTCTGCAGCATTCATGGGCCCCAGGTTTTACTACAAGGATCAATCCAAGGTCCTGAACTCATTCCCAAAATAAGTCCAATGACTGGGGTACCTCTTGTAATGTTCAAAATATCACTCACATTGGATTCGCCATCCATTTGAGATGGGCACCACCAGCTATCACTGCCACCCACCATTTCCCTTAACTCAGTGTTAGACTATGTCCTGCATTTAGCCTCAGCATGGTAGTGACAAGCTTCAAAATAGTTGATTTTCTTCCAATTTAGAGGTGGTTTCCTAGAACCATTTGTTGACCCAGAGGCGGAATCATTATTTATATCATCCTCTTGTCCCTCTTACCTCCTTTTGCAAATCCAGCCAATCCATTTGTGGGTAAAGGTGGTGCTGAAGAAATTCTTTTTAAAGAGACATTCACTTCACTGTGGTTCTTTAAGTGCACAGCGGACTACATATACCGAAGGGTTAACAAAACATACATACAAACAACCGAAACTAAAAGCAAGTGGTTCTTTGGAAGATCTATACCCAACTGTTCCTTTTGTAGAATGATGATCACTCAGTTTTGTGAAACGTTAACGAAAACGTAGAAAAGAAAGCTGAGAACCCAAAACCATGTATGTATCAGCCAAAGGCCCATAGTGAAGAGCAAACGGCCCTTCCTAGACACCTTTTTGTTCCTAATCACACTTTAAATGTGTCTCGCGCAATGACGCCTTGCCAGGCTTTGCGGCTACTCAACGATGACCACAACGACGAACAGAACCAGAACAGTCAGCAAAAGGACTTTCCAAAACTCATGTACACTGGACCATGACACACTTAGAATTCTTCCATACAAAATGTTCCAATGTTGGTCTGTTCATTAATAGCTATTATCATTTTTTTTTCAAAGACGGACAAAGGAATACTGTAGTTGCAAACTCCAAAAAAGCTTCCCTGAGAACCTTTTGTAATTATTTTTTTTCCATTGCGCTTTCCACTGGAGATCCAGAGCTGCTCTTTTGGAAAATAAAAAATAATGCTACTCTATAATACTTGTAAGAGTTTTTTATGTCCAGTAAGTATCAGAATCCTTGATGGAGTAAGAATCCCTGTCCAGGCCGAGATGGACACATAGTCTGCAGCTCCAGCTTCACATGAACAATACAAGTCGCATAATGCATGTGTTATCTGAGGACACAACCAGAGGCAACATAGCGTTGTGGAGTCTGTTGTATTACAGATGAAAACCTCGAATGCATTAAACCTTGGACTAATTCTACCGTGGAGCCTTCTTTGTGCCTATCGGCTGGTGAAGATCCTTGATTCTCATATGCATCCAAGCCCCACTTTGAACAGCTATCTTGCAGAACGGGTCAAAAATTTGTAAGAAAGCCCCTGCCACTGGCCAAAGGGATGCCACCAAGTAAACAAAAACATTTTGAGTTCAGTTCTGTTTGTGAATGGCCTCTTGGTTACGGTTTGGTCCGTTGATTCATTCATTCGACAAGTTTTGTCACTTGTAAACCTGAAAATGCAGAGTGAAGGTCCTCTATATTCTTCCAGTAATTTGTATTTCTATTTTTTTTACCTTCCCCCTTTTTTCTTCTGGTTTTCTTCCCACTTTTCTGTTGTTTCTCTGGACTTAGACCTGAATTCCTTTAATGGCCTGTTTAATACTTTCCAGCAGGTCCTTGTTTTCAGGATTCTGGTAGCACTCTTGGTTTGTGTACATGTCGGTAAGGGTGTTGACATATGCATCAAAGTTCTGCTCACTGATTGGCTCCTGGGTGCAAAAGAAAACAAAGGAAAAGAAGGAAACAATAAGCAAAACAACCCACATGAATCCTAAATGGACTCAGAGGCACAAATAGAAATGCCTGCACTCAATTCAGAGCTCAGTTCAGGTGAGATTGTGATTTCATTCTGACGACTTGGCCTTATGTAATTATATGATTGTATTTTAATGTATTTTATGTATTAGTGTATTATGAGGTGTGATATTTTTATACTATTGTTTATGAATCTTTTGTTGTGAACCGGCCTGAGTCCCTCTTCGGAGGTCGAGAAAAAAGCTCTAAATAAATAAATAAACAAACAAATAAATGAGATCTATTTCACATACTCATGTATATGTCGAGGAATTCAGAGTTTGAGTCTCCATTTGGCCATGGAAACTCACTTGGTGTCTTTGGGCAAGTCATACTCCCTTAGCCTCAGAGGAAGACCTGGCTTTTAGAAAAAAAATTAAAATCATGGTTTTAGGAACAGGCCTTCAGGCAATAGAAGTAAATGTATGCAGCATTTCGGAAAGACAATGACTGGAATGGCGAATCGACGGACGAGACTGTTTTATTGTTTTAATTATTGTTTTATTGTGACGGCGCGAGTGGCACCACCTATGTGTAGAACTGTTAGTTGTAAGATTTAAACTGTTTACCCTGCTTATGTATAGTTGGGTTGATTTGTTATTTATAGCTGTCAATCAATGTTGTTTGCACCAGTTGAATTGCTTTCTCAGCTCAATTGTTTGGCTCCACCTCTTCCTGGAGGAGGGGAGTGCTTCCCTTCTTTCATTCTGCCATCAGAGTTTCTATCAGATGGCCCTGAGTAAGAGACTTGGCTCTAATAGCCCCTGATTAAATTACCTCTCAGCACCAATTCTAAGTTTTTTTTACCATTGGGACTCGTGCTTTATGTCCAGATCATCCTGGACAACATTGAGGAGACCCAAGTGCCTTCAAACCAGTTCTTTTGGCACCAGAGGAAGGTCTTGTCCCTTCAACATAGGCCATTGGACCGAGGTTGTGTTTATTCTGATATTCACAGCCATTGAGGAAAGAGGAAACGGGAAAAGCTTCTCAGCTGCAAACTCCTTGGACCCTGTACTAACTGAGACTGTAATGTATGTTTTCCTTCACCCCTCTGAAACTTCCAGCTTTAAAGAGATAACTCTTTGTGATCAATAAATCGTATTTTGAGTTATCTACAGTGTTTTGGTTTTTGGGAGTTCCAGTTTCCTAAAGGAGGGCAAGAAGCAACCCCCTGGGGAAAGATGTCACGTCCATGCCACTTCCACTAAGAGCTATAGCCCCTAGGCGCGACGGCACATTTATTGCTCATGGATGTATTTTTTAATTTGATTTATGTCTAATTGTAGTGTATAATTGTAATTGTTTGTACTGGCATTGAATTTTTGCCATTACTTATGTGTAAACCACTTTGAGTCCCGCTTGGGGTGAGAAAAGCGGTATACAAATACTGTAAATAAATAAATAAATAAATAAATAAATAAATAAATAAATAAATGTGTCTTAATGTGTTTGAACAAATCTTGCCTAGAAAATTGCCAGAAATGACTTGAAGGCATGTATCAAGAACAACGTATGCTCAAGTGAAGTAGATTGACCACCAGGTTTACCTTGATCTCAAGCGTTTAGAAATAGGTTAACACAGGCTAGTTCTGCCCTAATGTTTCATGTTTAAGAGTTATTAATTAATATGTTGTAAGTATGAAACATTGTGGTGGACCCCTTCCAAGGGCAATTTCTAAGGTTAAATCAACTTTATTTTAAATTGACTGCCCATGTGAATTTGACGCCACCATGAGCTGGAATGCACCTTTGATTTCTTCTCTTCTGAATTCTCTGATACTTTAAGAAATATTCATGCATGGCACATGGACACATAAACAAATGCAAGAGATATTTTTAGCATCAATAATTATAAATTCATTATTGTGTTACTTATTAGGATATACGTTTCAGTGAAGTGAATGGGACTGAGTTCAAAATAATTGTATTTTGAAGCAAGACTTTTTTTGGACCAAGCTGCTAGTTTCTATGCTCCATTATTGTCTGTCTGGCTGTGTTGTTTCACAATACAGGCTTAATGTGTTTAACTGGTGATAATGTGCCATAGAACTCAATTAACTTCTCAACAACAGAAAGGAGGTAATTAATATCTTCTTTCAGCTGTTCTATTTCAGTGCAGCAGTCTCACCACCCCTAATTCCACAGCAATACTGTGGCTGCATGCTGGGCCCTGCTAGACCTTGTTATGTTAAATATAATATACTCTCTTCATGGTTGAGATTGTTCAGCTGACAGCTATTCGGAACAAAACGGAAGCTCCATGAGTTATAATAGGTTCTGAAATATCTTTTTGATGCTAAAATCCAATCCTGTCCTATCTGCACTCATGCTGTCTTAACTTTCAAAAGGCCACATGGATTCTTGATAAAGGTCCTTTTATTATTTTCTCACCTACTTAGGCCATGAGGTGTGCGGCACCAACAAAAAACACAAAAGAGATTAGTGCGCAATGATAGCAAAGGGAGAATGATAATATAGTCTCCAGAAATATGATAGAAGGCTTAGGTGCCACTCGGTAGGTAGAATTCTGATTTTTTAAATAGCGTTTAGATCAGGGGTAAGGAAAAATTGGCTGCCATGTGGTCTCATTTTGTGTCCCTCCCTTTCTTCATGTCAAGAGTTTGGTTTGGATTGGTTTGGGGGTAAAACTATACTGCTATATTGGTGCAAAGATTGGTAGCCAAGCTCCTAACTGGAGCTGGTCATAGGGAGCACACAACGCCTCTACTAAAGCAGATCTATTGACACAAGCGTGGTTGGTGGGGATGAGGGAGAAGGACTTCTCGGTGGTGGCCCCCCAGCTCTGGAATGCCCTCTCCAGGGAAATTAGACAATCCCCAACATTGTCCTCCTTCTGTAGGGGCCTCAAGACCTGACTGTTTAAGCTAGTTTTTGAGAATGCCTAATCCCTGTTTGACTTATGCAATTGCACTTATGCAGCCTTGCACTTTATCTCATGCCCTCTTTCTATTGTTACAGATTTGCACTTATCCCATTCCCAGTTCGATCGTTTACAGCAGGGGTCCTCAAACTAAGGCCCAGGGGCCAGATACGGCCCTCCAAAGTAATTTACCCAGCCCTCACTCAGTGTCAACCTAAGTCTGAAACGAACTGAAAGCAAACAACAAGAACAACAACAACAATCCTATTTCATCAGCCAAAAGTAGGCCCACACTTCCCATTGAAATAGTTTATATTTGTTAAAATTCATTTTAATTATTGTATTGTTTTTAAGTGTTTTTTTGCACAACAAATAAGATATGTGCAGTGTGCATAGGAATTCATGTTTTTTTTCAAATGATAATCTGGCCCTCCAACAGTTTGAGGGACTGTGACCTGGCCCTCTGTTTAAAAAGTTTGAGGATCCCTGGTTTACAGCCTGGCCACGTTTATAGTAGCTTACCCCATTGGTAATGAGCACTGTTTTTAATTGATTGCACCCCACCACCAATCTCCCCAAAGGGACTCGAGGCAGCTAACACATGGCGCAAGGTGCCTAAAAACAGAACATAAAATGAAAACAATTTTTAAATAAAATTAAATAAAACATATAGGCATATAAATAACATTTATATGCCTATATGTTTTATTTAATTTTATTTAAACATTGTTTTCATTTTATGTTCTGTTTTTAGGCACCTTGCGCCATGTGTAAGCTGCCTCGAGTCCCTTTGGGGAGATTGGTGGTGGGGTACAAGAATAGTGTTATATTATATACTGCAAAACTATAACTCACAGGTTCCATAGTACTGAACCATGGCAGTTTAGTTGATGTCAAGCTGCATTAATTCTGCAGTGCATAAGTTTCCAGTGAGAATGGTGCCGAGTGAGTAAGAAACACCTCAAGACCAAAACAGATTTTGATGTCTCTAACTTACATGTAAACCGCCCTGAGTCCCTTCAGGTAGATGGTGGCAGGATATAAGAATAAAGTTATTACTATTGTAGTATTACATAGATGTTATTTTCCACAATACTTAATTTTATAAAAAGTAAAAGGAATGGATGGCTTTAAGTATTTCTCCTCCCCTTCTATGTAATATGCAAAGTCTTCTCTCCTCAGTAATGCTGTCTGAAATGGGTTCTTTGTCATATGGATAAAGACTAAGTTCATGCAATAGAACTGCTCACCATGTGTGGAAGGCGGATATTGGCAAGACTTTGGATAAGAGTCTGGCTCAGCCCTGAGAGCTCAAGGAAGAGGGCTTCGTTCTGCTCCTCAATGATCTTGTTCTCCTCCTCAATGTTCTTGAGGTTCTTCTCCATGCTTGAGATCTGCAGGTAGGAATAGTGTGGGTTAGAATGGAAATGATTCGAATATGCCAAAGTTTCAAAAACACGGTGGTGATCCTCTCTCGAACCACCATTTTACAAATCTCCTTCTCCTATAGTTGGCTAGAACCAATGGTGGTATAGATACACATACATGACCTCTTCGACTATTTACATATACTTTTGGTTGCTGCAGAGGGTGATATTTCTTTTCTCTCTCTTAACTTAGCAAAACTCCCCACTCATGGCCATTTGTGCTTGAAGGAGAGCCAAGAGGGGGTAAAATGAGAGAAATAGCAGGCTATGCCTTCATAGCCAGATTAAAAAAATAGTTACATCAGTTGCTGAGACCTCCAGAATTGCAGACTTCAGGAAACAATGTCATTTCTTCATGTTTGATCGCAGGGACACAGTCAGATGCTTCTGTTATTGACCCTGGCGTCCTCCATCAAAATGACATAAATCACATTAATAGTAGCTAGCATGCCATAATAGTAGTAACATGCCAATTACTAATAGCCAACGTAACCTCAGAGGACACATGAATTGTGGACATTGTGAGTGCTGCTGTCAGTCACTCAAAACTAAACTACATTGAGAATTACAATACCACTAAATAGTTTCACTACTTGTACAACGGACAAGGTTATATATGTCATCCAATGCCCATGTGACCTTTTGTATGTTGGAATGACCACAAGAGCTTTAAAAACTAGAATTTTTGAACATTGCTCTCATATAAAAAATTAAGCCACTGACTCCACCTTATATTCACAGCTAGAGAACATGTGGAAAAAGCAGACATGTTCTCTAGCTTTAAATTTTATGTTTTAGAAAAGATCTATATGAAGCCCCATATAGACATGAAGAGATGCCTTTAACAAAGAGAGGCATTCTGAATATTTAAATTGCATACTGTGCATACTGTGTTCCCCTTTGGACTTAATGATAAACTTGACTTCAGCTGTTTTCTGTAATCAGCCTTCACTTTATATGTCTTCCATCCTCAATATGATGTGCTCACTATTGAAAGCCTGACAGTAAAGTCAAATCCATGTAACAGAGAAGTAAGTAACTATGTGCATACAACCTTGTACTTTGCAATCTGTTTATTGTTAACCATTCTCATTAGTATTAACTGCAATTGGGTGCTTTTCTTAGCATATCTATTATATTGTTCTGTTAACATCTACACAGGAATTTATTGAAAAGGTTACACTTTTGGTGAAGACAGCACAGAAACCTGAAGAAAGGAAAGCTTTCTGAAATGAGTTTTAAAACAATCCGGGGACCCTTGTCATCTTTGTTTTGTTTCTTCGAGAACATTTTAGTTGAATATTTACTATTTGAATTCAAGATATAGCAGAGGAGAAAACCATGAAGCTTTGACTGGACTAGAAACCTCCCACGGGAGGGAGTATTTACAACAGCGTTTACCTTCGGTCTTTAACTTTGCTATTATTATGTGAATTATGTCGTTTTGATGGTTTAGTCACATTAAACTGATGTTTACATACTTTAGAACAATTTAGAATCCATGTTTACAGAAGTAAACAACATTTGTTTTTTCCACTCTATATTAGATACCTGGCCTCCTCCAGCCATGAATGTTTGTGTGTGGGAGACTTCATCAGTTATGTAGTTGGTCTGAGAGTGGTAATAAATGGCTCAATGTAACATAGTTCTGTATGCAGAATTCCTCTGATATGCTGAACCATCCAGGATCATAGCCAAAGGCATCCAAACACTTTCTCACATACCCACAGAGCTACACTTTTCCCAATATACTGCTGTCACCGAGATCTTTAATATATCTACTTCCACTATTACAAGGAAAGGCTACTGCCAGGAGACTATTGCATTCTGACCAACAAATAAAGACGTTTCTTAAAAGCTTTGGGGACATTCCATTGACCTCTGTTGGTCTAACATTAACACACGAGCATAGGATGACTAAGGAGGCACATGGATATGAATGCACATACCTGTGACTGCAGCTTCACCATTGCTGCTTCCATCTCAGTGTTGGATTCATTCAGCTCATTAATTTCTTTGTTTAACTGCTTAATCTCTTCATCGTTTTCTAGAACTGTAAGAATTAAAGGCAACAACTCAATGGAAACATTCACTTTCTCCCCACAATGGGGAAAGGATGAATGGAAACTATGCATCCTTAGTCAAATATTTACATTGCTGTTGCATGGTCATGGCTGAAAAATGATGGATCTTCCTCACTGAAATATTCTATAAATCACACATGACAGGAAAGCAGGGGATATTTTAAACTACTATAATGGTAGTGCATTGGTACATTTCTAGTATTTCAAAGCTATGCCAGCTATATGTGCAGGAATTGCATTTGTTACAATGTCTGATTTGTTCGAATATTTTAAATGATGTATTGAGAACTTAAACATTGTATTCAGGGTTATGGGCGATCATCAATGGACAAGAAATATTGGATATTAGAGCATTCTTACAGCACAAATTAAGAAGGACTAATTTAATTTGAGAACCACTATGGTGTAGTTGTTTGAGCATTGGACTAGTACTCTGAAGCTCAGGGTTCGGATTCCTGCTCAGTCATGGAAATCCATTGGATGACTTTGGACAAGTCACACCTTCTTGGCCTCAGTGGAAAGCAAAAATAACCCTCCACTGAAGAAATCTTGCCAAGAAAACTCTGTGATAGGTTTATTTAGGGGTCCTATAAGTCGGAAGTGACTTGATGGCACACAGCAACAAAATAAAATTCCAAATGGATTGTCTAGTAATACAGTTAGTGGTGTGGGAATGCACAGGGTGTTCGATCCTGCTTTTGGCATGTGCAATTCCCTGCCTCCCACACCAGCTCCCCTAAGCCCATTGAAAATGGTTGATAGGTTTCTGTGGAATGGGGTGAACAATTGGGATACATAAGGATCATCTCAAATTTAGGAAGTTGATCTCCTGCACCCAGAAATCTTCGGCTCTTTAGAAGCGGGATCCCAAATCCAACTGGGATGTGAATTTATAAAATTATTTTGCACCAAGATTGTACAACTTAGCCTGGTGACAAATGACATTCACTTACCATCGCTGGTCTTGAATTTAGTGTTGAGAATTTCATCCCCTGAGATTTTCCCTTTTTTCCCAGCAAAAGTAGCTCTTGGACACCCTGAAAGGCTAAAGGACCAACAAAATAGGATTTGGTCAGAAATTCTGCATCATTTAAACCAAACAATAAAATCTGTATGAAAATTCCATGCCACCTCTTAAGCAACAGTGTACAGCCATTCCTTGCAATATGAAGTTCAACATTACTTGAAAAAAAATGTCGGTTCATACACTGACTTTGTCCTCATTGGCCTGACTCACTTGCCCTCTTTTGTTTCTCAGGCCCCATTTACACTGACCCTGGATTGACCATGATGCAAACTCTGGAGCATCCCCCAAGGTGAAAAACACTGCAATCTTGGTGGAAGTTGTAATGCATCATAAAAACTCCTAGAATCAATCCTGGGATGAGACTTTGCCACAGTGTCATTATTGTGTAGCTGAGACTAAATGGCTGTCAATAGGAGATGTTGAATTGGATGTGATCTTGCGATGTTCTTTACAGGATCTTTGATAGAACAAGACTACATTAATGAGTGTTTGAGGACATCTGTAGGGAGACCAAGGTGCTGGTTTATAAAGCTATTGCCCTCCCAACCCTGCAATATGCCTGAGAAATGTGGAATGTGTACACACGTCACACTCAACTCCTGGTATTATTCCATCATTGCCTCCAAAAAATCCTACAAAACTCTTGGGAAGACAGGCAGACAAATGTCAGCATGCTGGAAGAAGCAAAGACCACCAGCATTGAATCATAGTTGGAAGAGACCTCATGGGCCATCTAGTCCAACCCCCTGCCAAGGAGCAGGAATATTACATTCAAAGCACCCCCGACAGATGGCCATCCAGCCTCTGTTTAAAAGCTTCCAAAAAAAGGAGCCTCCACCACACTCCGGGGCAGAGAGTTCCACTGCTGAACGGCTCTCACAGTCAGGAAGTTCTTCCTAATGTTTAGATGGAATCTCCTTTCTTGTAGTTTGAAGCCATTGTTCTCCATTCTAGTCTCCAGGGAAGCAATGCTTCTATGCCATCAACTCAGCTGGACTGGCCACGTTGTCCAAATCCTTGATCACTGTCTCCCAAAGCAGTTACTATACTCCCAACTCAAGAATGGGAAACATAATGTTGGTGGACAGGAAAAGAGATTTAAAGATGGGCTCAGCCTTAAAAACTGTGGCATAGACACCGAGAACTGGGAAGCCCTGGCCCTTGAGTACTCTAACTGGAGGTCAGCTGTGACTAGCACTGTTGCAGAATTCGAAGAGGCATAAATGGAGGGTGAAAGGGAGAAACATGCCAAGAGGAAGGCGCATCAAGCCAGCCGTGGCCAGGACCGCCTTTCATCTGGAAACTGATGTCCTCACTGTTGGAGAACATGCAGCTCAAGAATAGGGCTCCATAGCCACCTATGAACCCACCATCAAGACACTTGACTTGGAGGACCATTATTCTCAGGCTATGATGGATCGCCAAAGTAAAGCAAGTAAAGTAACAATAATGATTGGGTTGTTGTAGTTTTTTTTGGGCTATATGGCAATGGTCTAGAGGCATTCTCTCCTGATGTTTCGCCTGCATCAATTGAATGGCTGTCAATAGGAGATGTTGAATTGGATGTGATCTAGGAGAGAATGCCTCTAGGCCATGGCCATATAGCCTGAAAAAACCTACAACAACCCAGTGATTCCAGCCATGAAAGCCTTCGACAATACATTGAACACTAATGATTATTTCCAAGTAGCAGTGGTCATATGAAAGAAGAATATAGTTTGGATTAGAGGTGAATTATGTTTTTCTATTATGTGTTTTTTTGTTTGTATGTGTTAATGTACTTTTCTGGAAGAAGTTCCGCACTGCCGCAGCAACTTCTTTTGATCTGGAAATTGAAATTGGCAAATCTGGAAAAAAAAATGTTTTTGAAATTTGTCCCACTTTTTTTGACTTGAAATGTTTGCATAAGTTTTGAAAACCGAGTGAAAAGTGTGTTTTCCTTTCCCGGAAGAAGAATAAAAAGCCACTATTTCTCTAATTTCTGCTTTTTTATTATTGTTTCTTCCATTTGTTCTAAGAGGGAGAAAATGACAAAAAGAAAACATCTATTTTATGATCATTGTAAAGTCGTTTCCCCGAGGCAGCTTTTTCAGTGGATTCTCTAAGCAGTGTTTTTTTATACATCCATCAGGAATTTGCCGTCATTCAGACAAGCTTGTGTTTGAATAGTTCAAAAACAGAAATGACACTCATCTGAAAGAAAGAAATTCCCTTGTAGGTTGCCCCATAAAAGATTCAGCTATAAAATGCAGATTTTAATCAAAGTGCATATTTTATGTCCCATAAACCTGAAGTGATCTTAATCCTGAAAACTGCTACATTGGGAAGATAGCCCGTTCTACCGTTCAGATAACTTGTCCAACTTCCCAATGGTGTAGCTACTGAGGGCAGGGGAAATACAAATCTTGCTCTCCCTATATCAATTCTGCCCTCCCCACAAATGAAACATTCCTTCTTTAAATATCTAGCATTCCAGAGAGAGAGAGAACTCAAAATCATTGACACTTAGAACACTTGTATTTGCTATTTTTCTATTCCCTTTAGAACTTTGCCTGTTGTTATTGTTATTATTATTGTGTTGTTGAAAGCTTTCATGGCCAGAATCACTAGGTTGCTATGAGTTTTCCAGGCTGAATGACCATGTTCCAGAAGCATTCTCTCCTAACATTTCACCCACATCTATGGCAGAAATCCTCAGAGGTTGTGAGGTATATTGGAAACTAGACAAGGGATGTTTATGTATCTGTTGAAGGTCTAGGATAGGAGAAAGAACTCCTATCTGTTGGAGGCAAGTGTGAATGTTGCAATTCATCACCTTGATTAGCATTGCAAAGCCTTGCAGCTTCAAGACCAGGCTGATTTCTGCCTGGGGGAATCTTTTGGTGGGAGGTATTAGCTGGCCCTGATTGTTTCATGTCTGGAATTCCCCAGTTTTTAGAGTTTTTTTTTAATGCTGTTAGCCACATTTTGTTCATTTTCATGGTTTCTTCCTTTCTGTTGAAATTGTCCAAATGCATGTGGATTTCAGTGGCTTCTTGGTAGTCTGACATGGTGGTTGTTAGAGTGGTCCAACCTTTCTGTGTTCTCAAATAATATGCTGTGTCCAGGTTGGTCCATCAAGTGCTATGCTATGGCTGACTTCTCTGGTTGAATGTGTTTGCAGTGCCTTTGGATTTGAAGGAATACAACAACAACATGCAACACCAACTTGTCCATGAAGAGTTGATGCACATTTGATCCCTAGCACAATACATTTCAAATTAGCTGGTTGTATACTGGTTGTATATGCTGGTGGTATACTGTCCATTAGGGCTGGGCGGTTTCGTTTCGTTAATTCGTAATTCGTTAATAATTCGTTAATTTTCTTGATTACGAAGCGATAACGAACCATTCTGGAGCAATTTTTTAAAAAAACAAATTTTTAAAGATGTTTTGTAAATGCTTCGTATTTCATTATTGTATTCGTTTCGTTATTGTTCTGAGGTCGTTTCGTTATTATTTCCGCATGTCTGGGGCAAGTTTTATAGTTGTTTTTTGTTTAATTAGTGAAAAAAAATTATAATATCACACCAACAGTCAACAACAGAGGGAGAGGGAAGCTTTCAGAAGTTCCCCCTGTCCCATTTGGAGGGTTTTTTAGTATTGCGCAATCGCGCCCGCCATTAACGAATCGTTTCGTAATTGTTTCGGAATCGTTTCGTAATTGTTTCATAATTTTACGAAATTTCGTAAATATCGAACTTTTTAAAAGGGAAATTTTGTAATTATTTTAAATAACGAAACGCAAAAACCCCCAAAAAACGAATCGATTTTAGAAACAAATTTTTCCGTTGTTACCCAGGCCTACTGTCCATTATCAAGCTCTGTACTTGCATTTTTCCAGAGACTAGGGATATAAACTAAATTGTCTGAAGCAAATGGTTCACAACACACTCTACTGCAGGCATGGGCAAACTTTGGCCCTCTGGGTGTTTTGGACTTCAACTCCCACAATTCCTACCAGCCTCCCGGCTGTTAGGAATTGTGGGAGTTGAAGTCCAAAACACCCAGAGGGCCAAAGTTTGCCCATGTCTGCTCGACAGGATACAAAGCCAAACCATCATGTATTATCTGTGTCACCCAGAAAATCTTCTCAATCTTCACTATCCACAATGCGATTAAGAGTCAACACAAATATTAACCTCTCACCAGTTTCTATACTGCCGAGACTGAATGTGGTTCTTAGAACATTTTAGCTAAACTGGAAAAAGGGTGAATTTCCAGCATTCGGAAATTAGAAGCCAATGATCTTTCTCTGTCCTTGGAGTCACACCAGCTGTGTTTACACTTCTGAAGGAAGCAGCTAATTAACTCTCCATATCATTAAAACATCCACAATAAGAAGGAGCTTAGTGTAGGTGATTTAGAAGAGATTCGGGCCATAATCTTGCTGGATTCCTATGCCAGAGCAACTCAGAGGTAACAGCTAGGAGCTTTGTTGGAATCCTGAAGCTTGTACCTCTTGGGCCTTCTCCAGATGTCCAAATCTTCTTTTCCATGAGTGGTTTGCTTAGCAGTGCAATCAAGCCCTATATGTTGACTATACTTGCATTGAAAACATAACAGTGAATATCACTGGAAGACCTAAACAAGCACACATTTTTGGAGGGTGGGGATAAGTGAAGCTGGGATATTGAATCTGTGGATAAGAGGGTTGTACTGTTGAGGCTGGGTATTCTTGCTTGCTTGGGTATTCTTTAGTTGGGGATCCTGCAGTGAGCAGTGCTTTGGATTTTATGGCCCACGAACAACTCTATGATTCTAATTTTTCTTCAAATCCAGCTCTGTAATTGGTTTCCTTCAAATTGATGTAGTACAGGTGGCTGTGTGATGGTGGTTGGAGTCTAGAGGGATGGGTATGTTGTTTTAATGATGACTGCTGGGGAAAGGCATTTAATTTCCTTGTACAATGTACAATGATAATACAGCTATTCTATTCTACTTTCAGACTGTGGACTGAGATCACATGTTCTATTTACTGCTTCCTACACAGTGAAAGGAAGTGAATTACCAAACCAGAAAGTATTAGTGACGTTTATGCAGGTATCCCTCTTTGGATGTGAAGAGGGCTATTCTATTGCACTTGTACTCCATCCCAAAACTTCTACTCCAGACCCTGACAGGAACAGCTCCTATTTTTCCTTACTAGTAGGGAGAAGAAGGAAGGGAAAGGCAATTCAGATCTTCCTCCTTTGGGAAGCAAAAGGAGCTGACTATACTTGCATTCCATCTATGACCATATCTTGTTTCTCTTCCCTATCCTCGTCTACCCACTAGGCATGGATAGAGTTGCTTGGATAACTCTTAGCTCATAATAATTTAGTTAGAATTATGTTTTTGAAGCAATATCAAAACTTTTTAAAAAACTGGAAGTCTCTTTCCCTTTTCTAAGCTTTTTCCGCCATTTTTGTTACGACTCAGGAAATGATCAGTTTTTCCCTGCTTCTGGTCCCTGGCCTCAGCTCAAGCCAGAGAATCCAGTTTTAAACCAGAGAAGGATGGAATTTCCTGGTCTCAGTTCAAGCCAGAGAAGCCAGTTTTAAACCAGAGAAGAAAGGAATTTCCTGGCCTCAGTTCAAGCCAGAGAAGCCAGTTTTAAACCAGAGAAGGAAGGAATTTCCTGGCCTCGGCTCAAGCCAGAGAAACCAGCTTTAAAGCCAGAGAAGGAAGGAATTTCCTGGCCTCGGCTCAAGCCAGAGAAACCAGCTTTAAAGCCAGAGAAGCTAGTTTTAAACCAGAGAAGGAAGGGATTTCCTCCACTTGGTTTTCCCCACTTCTGGAGTAAAACAACTACTTTCAAAGTAAAGAACACCCATGAAACAGGAAATCATACTTTCAAACCATTAACGAAAGGATTTGGAAGTCTCAGAAGTTTAGAAAAGTTTTGAATTTTTTTCTTAGAAAATCAGAATTGACTTTAGAATTGAACCACCAGCATCCTCTACACCTGAAATGAGTTTTGAACCATTTTTTAAATCAACCAAGCCTACTACCTACTACTTAATGGTCTGAAATGCTTTCCCCATATAAACAGGAAGTTGCAACAGCCCTTCTTGTGGCTGAATAGCTGCCAGAAGACAGGGAAACTGTGTCAACAGTGTGATGGTTGGAATTTGCAATATGAAAAAGCAACTTTTCCAGATGTCCCATAGGTATGGTATAATCAGAAAGAAATATAGAATCTGATAAGTTTGTTAGACTGTCAAGAAGGCTTTCAACAGCAATCTCATTGCCATGTTCTGCTTAATACCGCATGCGCAATGCTTACCTTCTGTGGGTGAGGAAACTTCCATTTGCATGACCTGAGCCATCACAACCTGGGGTTGGGCAGGTTGGGCCCTCATTCTTGAGTGACTTCCACGAAAAGGAGGAGCCATTGAGAGACCCTTCTTTCTGTCTCCGGGCTGCGAGGGGACACCCTGAGGCACTGCGATGGGAGGCATATTTACCACTGATGTGTCCAAGCCCAACACAGCCAGGAACAGGGCACCTAGCAGGTAGAAAAGCGAACAGACATAAGGATGGAAACTCTGAACATAAATTCCCCACCTTCCAAAAGGACACCGCTGATTAAAATTGCCAGAAAGTGACAGTATGTGTGGGATGGTCCTAGTAACATGGTGTCATCTCCTCTTCCTTCTATTATTTAAACTGTTTGGTTGCAAAGTTATGAATCTCTGCCTCAAGTCATAGAGTTGGAAGGGACTACAAGGGCCATCCAGTTTAATCCTCTGCCATACAGGAAAACAAATCAAAGCACTCCTGACAGATCCAGCCTCTGCTTAAGAACCACAAGAGAAGGAGACATCACCGAATGCAGCATATTCCACTGCTGACCAGTTCTTACCATCAGGAAGTTTAGGTGCAATATTTTTCCTGGTATTTGAACTAGTTGCTCTGTGGCCTAGTCTCCAGAGCAGCAGAGAATAAGCTGGCTCCCTCCTCAATGTGACACCCTTTCAGATATTTAAACATGGTAATTGTGCTGGTACGGCTGTACCAGGAGCTCCAACTTTATTTTCTTTCTGTTATCTGTTTGCAGTCATAGGGCAGGCCTCCTGTCCATCATAATTAAGCTTTAGTTCTGCCCCTTGTTCAGGGCTCTGGGAGGGAAAGGAGCCATTTTTTGGGCGGTCTCACATAAGGAAGCTAAACTATAAGACGTAGACCAGCTCGTCCCATAGAAAAGCTTCTTTTCTCAAGAACATCCGGGGAAACAGAAACAGAAATTCCAGGGAAAAGGTCCCAAGGCTCTGGCTGAGAGCTCACAGCCTCTTAGCCTCACAGCAATCAGAGGGAAAACAGCCCTGAAGTTTTCAAAGAATTCTCTGAGGATAGGACAGCACTACAGATTCACGGAACTCCATCTGAAATATCTACAAGCCTCGGCTGGTAGGTCTACTCGACACCCAGATGCATTTGGAATCGGTAGTAGGACCCACACCGATGAGGCATAGATGGTAAACAGACTGGGAGAGGTTAAATAGGGTTTTTTTTTTCCTACAGAGAAAGTACAGTTAATTAAAGTCAGGTACCAGTCCATTGAGGACTAGACTAAGAAAGCCTTGAAGTGTTGTTTGAACCATTGAAGATTTGTTATTTGTTCCATAATAAAGACTTTGTTGTATCATTAAAGACTCTAAAAACCATTACTTCAGAAAAATCCCTGAGAATCTCTCTTTGAGGTGCCCTGGGCTTAAAGTATACGTCCTATAGAAAAGACAGCTGTAACAGGCCCAGCGCGCAACAGAATAGTAATCATGTTCCCTCTTAGTCAAATCAAATCAACTGCATTTGATCATAGGAATAATTGAATCTTAGAGTTAGAAGCACCATCTATTTACACTCTTGGAGGAATACACAACAACCCTGAAATATGTCAATTTGACCTCCACAACTACTGAGGATGCCTGCCATAGATGCAGGTGAAATGTCAGGAGAGAATGCTTCGGGAACATGGCCATACAGCCCAGAAAACTCATAAACAACCCAGTCATTCTGGCCACGAAAGCCTCTGACAATACATTGAGCACCTCTTTGGGGAGAAACCGTTCCAAGACATACGGAAGATGTCAGAACCTCTGAGGATGCCTGCCCTAGATGCAGGAGAAATGTCAGGACAGAATGCTTCAGGAACATGCCATACAGTCTGGAAAAATTGCAACAACCCAGAGATTCCAGTCATGAAAGCCTTCAACAATATGTGCAAAATCTGGGAATGTATTCCCATAAATATGGAGGCTGTATTGCACATACAAGTCAAATAAAAAACATCAAAGCTGAGTGAGAGCAAAAATACACACACACATATATATACGGCCTGGGTAACAACGGAAAAATTTGTTTCTAAAATCGATTCGTTTTTTGGGGTTTTTTGCGTTTCGATATTTAAAAGAATTCCGAATTTTTTTTAAAAAAAAAGTTCGATATTTACGAAATTTCGTAAATGGTAAAAAAATTACAAAACAATAACGAAACAATAACGAATCGATTCGTTAATGGCGGACGCGACCGCGCAATACGCTAAAAAACCTCCAAATGGGACAGGGGGAACTTCTGAAGCTTCCCTCTCCCTCTGTTGTTGACTGTTGGTGTGATATTTATATTTTTTTTCACTGATTAAACAAAAAACAACTATAAAACTTGCCCCAGACATGCGGAAATAATAACGAAACGACCTCAAACCAATAACGAAACGAATACATAACGAAATACGAAGCATTTACGAAACGAATTGAAAAATTCGTTTCGTTTTTAAGCTGCTCCAGAATGGTTCGTTATCGCTTCGTTAACAAAAAAATAACGAATTTTTAACGAATTACGAATTAACGAAACGAAACCGCCCAGCCCTAATATATATACACAGAATTTTCAAGCCAGCGCACTTGCCCTAAGATTCCTCCCACTTCCTCTAAGAACTGGAGAAAAGGACCAAGACCTGAGATCTGGCAACCCTAACACTTTTTTATAGAGCAGTGTTTCTCAGCCTTCCTAATGCAGTTAACACTTAATACAGTTCATGTTGTGATGACTCCCCAACCATAACATTATTTTTGATGCTACTTCATAACTGTAGTTTTACTATTGTTACAAATCGTAAATATCTGATATGTAGGATGCATTTTCATTCCCTGGACCAAATTTGGCACAAATACCCAATACTCCCACATTTGAATACTAGTGGGGTTGGGGGGTGGGGGGTGTAGTTGCTGGGATTTATAGTTCATCTACAATCAAAGAGCATTCTGAATTCCACCAACAATGGAATTGAACCGGTCCTGGCACACAGAACTTCCATGACCAACAGAAAACACTACAAGGGTTTGGTGGGCAATGATCTTGAATTTTGGAGTTGTTGTTCACCTATGGAAGTAGGTGCACTGTGGACTCAAACAATGATGGATCTGGACCAAACTTGGCATAGATACTCAATATGCCCAAATATGAACCCTGGTGGAGTTTGGGGAAAATAGACCTTGACATTTGGGAGTTGTAGTTGCTGGGATTTATAGTTCACCTACAAACAAAGCATTCTGAACCCCACCAATTATAGAATTGGGCCAAACTTCCCAAAGAGAACCCCTATGACCATCAGAAAATACTGTGTTTTCTGATGGCCTTTGGTGACCCCTCTGACACCCCCTCGTGACCCCTCCAGGGGTCCCGACCCTCAGGTTGAGAAATGCTGATATAGAGGCTAAGACCTCAGCAGTTAGTTTTTTCTTCTTCTGCCATTGTTTGCAATAGTTTAAACAGTTATGTCAATTATAAACACATCTAAAAGTCTGTTAGTGCTCAAAGCTGTAAAACAAACAAACAAACAAAAGAGTCAATGGGAAGCCACAGAGCCAACTGTTAAAGTAAGGCAGCAATTAAGAATGTCAAAAGATGGCTGTCAAAACAAATGCCGGTCTGTGCTTGACATTCACAGCCTACATTTCATTGTTATCATCATTATTTTATTATCCTTCCATAAAAAAATTCCCAACAACAACACAGGAGTTGACAGTCAGGGCTGCACCAGGATTATTTCATCCCCCCTTGGAGGTAATTTGAAAAAACGCTGATCCTGTTTTTAATCATCTGCAAATGCGGCACAATTCACTTATTGTACCGCTGCCAGCAGGATGCACACTAAATTCATAACGGCGTCACTGTTTATATGATCGCAAGCAAATTATTGAAACCTCAGGAGAAAAAGCGAACGAGAGGGAAAGAGAGATTGGGGAGAGGGGAAAGGGGTGTATGTGTGGAAAGACAACGATTAGCATGCGGCGTTTATGGCCTGGCCGTTACATATTTTACGCTGTTAATTTAACTTTCATTACACTTTTATTGTAAAAAATAAACCAGAGCCTTATTGTAGCAAACAGCTGGCTTGGGATGTGGGGTGTGCATGTGTGAACATGTTTTTAAAATTTATTATTGCTGTTTAATTGATGCCGTCGGAATGGTTGGCTCACTGAAAACCTATCACCCTGAATTGCCTTCCCCCCTTTGAAGAGGGAAGAGAAGGGGCCAGGATGATCGGATGAAGTGTCAGTCTCTTCTTGGTGTGCCACTGCCTAGTTAGGAGCAGGACTCATACCCTTCCATGTACGCCGTGTGGTAAATGGTGTGAAGAAAGAGCAATAAGGCACTGGGGAGGGTATTAGTTTCTTCTCAGTGGCAGCGCTTAGTTCTCGGACTGCAGCCAAGCCGCTGTCTGCCACACAGATGGAGACATGGAATTACTATTGAGCCTCTTTAATACAAACCTGCAGGGACCTCCGAGTGAGAGGAATACCTTGTTAGGGAAGACAAAACGCCGCTTTCCAAAGACTAGAAGAGTTTGGCCACGGGGGAGTTGAAAGCTTGTCTCACTTTATCATTTCTCTGGGTGCATCTCTGCTGCAGAATTGATGCAGTTTGACACCACTTGTGCTGTTATGGCTCAATGCTATGAAATCATAGAGTTGGAAGAGATTACAAGGGCCATCCAGCCCAACCCCCCCTCTGCCATGCAGGAACACCCACCAAAGTCCTCCCGACAGATGGCCATCCAACCTCTGCTTAAAAACCTCCTGGGAAGGAGATTCCACCAGACTCCCAGGTAACATGGTCAAGTAGCTCTTATCATTAGGAACGCCTTCCTAATGTTTAAATGGAATATCTTTTCCCTGAAATTTGAATCTATTGCTCTGTATACTAGTCTCTAGAGCTTACTTACTTTGGCAATCCCTCACTGTTCGAGTAAGATTGCCTCCAAGTTCAGTGTCCTGGCAGTAGGTACATAAGTGACTGTGGAGCACTATTCTTGACCTGCATGTTCTCCCGCAGTGAGGGCATTGGTTTCCAGGTGGAAGGCGGGATCGGTAGTGGTTGGTTTGATGTGCCATCCTCTTGGCACATTTCTCTCTTTTGCCCTCCATTCGTGCCTCTTCAAATTCTACAGCAGTGCTGGTTACAGCTGACCTCCAGCTAGAACGCTCAATGGTCAGGGCTTCCCAG